CGTAGTATGTCGAGTAGCTCCTGAATGAGATTCTCTCGGCTGCGTCTTTCGGCGTATCTATAAAGTCGAACCTGCAGACCTAGCCCAACACACTACCCCGAGGAGCTCTTCGCAAGGAATCCTTTGCATTTGGAGGAGCCTCAAGCTGAAGGTTTCGATGCTTGTCCTCGCGAAGTCTACGACTGCACTCAAGCTGACGGGCCTCAACACTCCTTGAAACGAAGAGGCTCAAACATTAACTCCCGACGCACGGTATCGTAAAGGTGCATATGTCTTGATGCGCGATGCATCGAGACACATGGCGAGTTTCGGCAAACCTGAACCCAACAACCTTGCTATCTGTTGGGAGGCGGATTTTTACTTTCGCTGGCCTTCTGCTGGCTCCGCTGGTGGAGGCGGCCTCGTTCTACTTCTGCCGCCCTCCGCCGAGGAACAGGTGGCAACTCCTTCGATCCTCGAAGGCGGAGCCGCTTCTGGAACGCCTCACATGCTCAGATCAATAATGGTCTCAGCGTGTAGCTCTGACCTCAGTGCAGTTGGACCGAAGACAGAAGAACACCCTCCAAGATCATGAGACCTTCAGCTGGCCAAGACGAAGAGCATTCGAGGACACCCTCCCCCGGGAGGCACAACTACATCCAACAGACACGAAGAACATCAGGGCACCCTCCCCGGACCGACCTCGATCTTGTGTGCCTTGGCCCGACAGTATTCAGACTACTCTTAGGTCGGGCCTGTCCCCCTACAGGGGGATTTTCGACGAAAAATAAAAAGTACCCCAAAAGTACTCCAAAATGGTCAAACAAATATTCAAAACATAATGCCCATATTGTTTTTTTGACTACTTTTGAACATCCCGCCTGTAGAGGGGCAGGCCCGACTCATGCCTTGGCCCGACGGGGTATTCGGACTACTCGTGGTCTCGGCGTGCGGCTCTGACCTCCGTATCTTGGCGGCGCGCACAAGGGGGTGGGGGGAGGGGGGAGGGCTTCTTAGAGGCGGGCTGCTTCTGAGAAGGCGCCGGCCTTACATCGACAGATAAGGCCCGCGCCTTCTAAGAAGCAGGGGTGCTTCTAAGAAGCCCTCCCCCCTCCCCAGGAGAGCCCAGAATCGAATCGATAAGTCGGATCGGCGATCGAAATGAATCGGATCGGCGGAAATCGGCAGCCGAGTCGGGAAATGTCGAATCGGCGGGAATCGGCAAGATGGTGTGCCCCCAGTGAGAAATCGGGACCCCAATCGAAATCCCAGGTCGAATCGAATCGGAATCGGAGGCCATCGAAGTCGAATCGAATCGGATCGGAGGAATCGAAGCGAGCCCTGCCTCCCCCCACCCCCCTCTGCGCGTGGCCGAGCGTGCCGCCCATCGGCGCCTGGGCGCAGCGAGGGCCGGGGGCCGCACGCCGGAGGGCCCCTGGGGACGACGACGGCGGAGGCCCTGCCAGGCAGCGGCGCCTGCCTCCCTCGGGCACTCGCCGCCGCGCGGACGTCCGCTCCCCGTGCCTTTTTTTGTCGGTGCCGTGCGCGTTTTTTGTTTTTTTTTGTTTTGCTTCGCTCGAGGCTCCTGGATGCTCCTCGAGGGTCCTCGCCGAGAGCACGTGCGCGCGTCCCAGCGATGCCCAGGCAATGTCGGCGGCCGCTGGGGCACCTCGGGTCGAGCCGGGGGGCCGCGGGTCGGGCCTGGGGGGGGCCTCAGGTCCAGCGAAACCGACCCTGTCCAACGAACCCTTCTGGCAGCCTCGGATTTCATAAAGTGAGCACGTGTAGGACTGAGTGGGCCGTCGTGCATGCCTGCATCGCGGCAGCGCTGGAAGCGTAGCGGGCCTACCAGGATCTGCTCAGGAATGCTTGCGCTCAAGAGCACAAGGTACGCAGCAATCGCCGGGCGTGGTGGCAACTTGCCAATCTTTTGTCGTCATGGTGCTCTTGAGTGCGACGCATGGGAGTGCAACACGATCCAGACGAACACGCAACAAACCGGTGTGCCCTCGACAGTGTTTACTACTATGATGCTCAGCGTGGCTCACGGCGTTCGGCCATCAGCCCTGCTCGATTTCAATATGATCGCGCTTGTCTATCCCATCTTTCCTCCAACCTTCCTCCATTATGCATCCTTCATGTCCCCGCTCTCCTCCCCAGACCTCCTCATTTTTGCAATATCTTTTCGCTTCTTTTGTTGCGCGCATCCCTCCTGGTCGCCCTTTCTCTTACTCTTTTCACGCACGCCAGAGAGGGCGGCACGGATGGCTAAGACCTCCGTGGCCGCTAGCCCTAGCACCCACGCCAATTCCTCCGCCATCGTAGACAGCGTACACATAAGTCAACATCGAGCGCCTCTTTGAGCCGCCCACCCCTGGAGGCGAAGCTGGGTCCCTACATGGCTTGAGCCAAAATGGCAAAGGCCTCACCAACCTATAGGCCTGACACTCCCCTCCTATGCCCTCCCCATCCTCATCCTGCCCCCTTCGCTCCATCTTCCTCCTCCCTCCTCCTCCTCCTCCTTCTCCTCATCCTCATCCCTCCTCCGCCACTTCCTCGCTCCAGCTTCCCCCTCGTCCTGACTATGCTCGTCTCCTGCTGGCTCCCCACTTCCTCGTAATTCTTCTGTTGCTTCTCCTCCTCCTCCTCCTCCTCCTCCCTCTCTCCTCCCCATAGAGTCTCTGAGTGTCTCCTCGCATTGCAAGAACCAATCTCGCGGACGAGTGGGCTGGCGGCGAAGAGGAGGAGAGGGAGGAGGATGTGGAGCGTAGCAGATGGAGGATGATGAGCAACATGAGCAGTACGACGACGAAGCTTAGGGAATAGGGAGTGATTGAAAGGAGGGAGGGGTGGAACAAGCAGGATGGAACGTATACGTTTTGGTCAAGGAGAGGGAGTGAGAGAAGGATTGTGCAAAGACGGGTAGGCAAACAGAGATGGATGCGCGTTTCTTCAGAGCGAGACACACATATAGCGAGAGAGAGGGGGGAAAGAGAGAGAGAGAGAGAGAGAGGGAGAGGAAGAGAGAGAGAGAGAGGACCAGACTCCTATGCGGATTCCTACGCGGACGCCTACGCGGATCCCCAAACGCACGGCGGCAGTGCCCAGAACGCACTGGGGGGGGGGAACGCTTCCGTCATTGCCGGGGTGGGGGGTGGGGGGGAGCGGGGGCCATGACGCCCGCCACGCCCCAAGCAATAGAAGAAACGGGCTCGTCGTCGTGCCTCGTGCCTCGTGCGGCGTGCGTCCCGCCCGCTCCGCCGGGCCTCCTCCTCTTCGGTGACCCCCGCCCTGCTGCGGCCAGCTGCGCCGCGCCGCGAGCCCCCGCCGCCGCCAAGTTGCCCCCTCGGCCTCCCGCCGCCGCTGGCGTGTGGCCCTCTCGAGCGGCTAGTCGACCTCCACCTTCTCGGCCATCACTGGCGGCGCGCAGAGGGGGGTAATTTAGGGGGAGGGGGGGAGGCTAGAAGGAGGCTGCTTCTTAGAAGGCGCCGGCCTCACATCTGCAGGCAAGGCCCACGCCTTCGAATAGAAGCAGGGGTGCTTCTTTCTAAGAAGCCGCCTCCCCTCCCCCCTGCCCCCCTTCTGCGCGTGGCCGACATCACCTGGTCGTGGAACTTCAACTGGATGCGTCAGGCCGCTCCGAGAAGCTGGCGAGCTCCACTGCGACCTGTTGCTGCACCGCCGCTGTGACCGCCTCCGCCGGGGCCAGCACTGCCACCGTGCTGCGAGCAGGAACGCCTAATTAGCAAGGAAGACACGGGCTGTTCTGGCCACGGGGAGCCTCGTCAACGAGGAGGTTCCACGGCCCAGGTCTAGGGAATGGCCCCCTCAAATAAGAGTCCCTTTTGAACCAGCACGATCTTTGTCTCAGCGTCTTGGCTGTGCTGGCACTAACCGGAGGGTTGCCCGAATCTCCAAGACCCACTTTTGCTCCGGGCAGGGGCACGACCAGCCCCTCCGCACTCCGGCCTCCAGCCCCCCGCGCATGCTTCGCGCCCAGGCCTGGCATCGTGAGCGCCTTCTGCATCGCTGCAGCTCGGCCTGGACGCTGAGGCTCGGCGTCGTGGTCGTGGTCGTGGTCGTGGTCGTGGTCGTGGTCGTGGTCGTGGTCGTGGTCGTGGTCGTGGTCGTGGTCGTGGTCGTCGTCGTCGTCGTCGTCGTCACGCGTCCACCTCCTCCGTGGAGAGCCCGTTCCGTGGACCATCGGCAACTTCCGCTGCCCAGGCGGCCTCACCTCTCGCCCCGCCTCCGCTGCCTCCGCGGAGCGCGCCGCGGCGCGCCCCCATGACCAGCCTCGCACGGTGAGCGCCGCTGCGCTCTCTGGTCCTCCCGTGGCTCGGCCCGCACTGCCAACTCGAGCGGGCCAGCGAGCGCTGATCTCGGCACGGGCATCTCAGCCGCACAGAAACTAGGGGAGATAGCGGCGGGAGGGAGGAGTGATGAGGAGGAGGAGGAGGAGGAGGAGGAGGAGGAGGAGGAGGAGGAGGAGGTGGGCAGGAGGAGGGGAAAGGTGGGAATGAATGAGAAGGGGAGGGGAGGAGGGAGGAGGGAATGTGGGGGGGAGGAGGAAGGGCAAAGGATGACGAGGACGATGAAGAGGGGGCTGGGAGGAGGGGGGAGTGAGGAGGAAGGAGAGGAGGGCAAGGATGAGGGGCAACTTCAGAGGAGACAGAGGATGCGGAGGAGAACGAGTAAGACCATGAAGAGGAGGTGGGGGGGGTGAGAAGGATTCAGAGGAGGCGGAGGAGGGAGAGACAAGGGATCACGGAGGCAGGGAAAGGGAGGGACCTCCCCGTTCTCGCCCTTCTCGTCTTCTTTCCTGTCTCCTTCTCCGCCCTTCCCTGAAGCTGATTCCCCTCCCTCCTCCTCCTCCTCCTCTTCCTCCTCCTTCTTCTCAACCCCTCTCATTTCCCCCCCTCCTCATCATCCTTCTCCTGCCCTTGCCCTTTCCTGTCCCTTCCCCCGGCGCCCCCTGGCATCCCTTGTTTCCCTGCCTACATCGAGCCCACTTCGCCCGGTGTTCACGAGTCCAGCTGGGTGAGCATTGCCACGCCGCGCTTGACCCAGTGGGACTCTGGATGCGAGGAGCTGATCCTTGCAGCGGGAGGAGGGAATGGCCATGAGGAAGGGGGTGAAGGATGAGGGAAGAGGGGTGGGGAGGCTGGAAGGGGACAGTTGCGCATCGAGAAGCAGAACTCGTTTGGGACACGTCGGGGATCTAACACTTCTTCGTGACCAGTGTTTGGTTGCAGATGCCTACGCAGGACGAGAGACTTTCCTCTTGAGGTGAAAATGGCGATGATGACTTCGCGAGATGCCATCGGCGCCGCCGAGTGGACGGCGCCTGGGCGAGCTGCGTGCAGCAACCGGGAGAAAAGAGATGCATTCATGTTGAGTGGGGCCCGCGCGCGCGGAAAGTTGGTGGGAGCATGCGAGTCAGCACAGGACCCACCCTGGGAAGTTAATGACCGAACCCCCTTCCCCCGTAGACTGAACACGGGCGGGTTCCGGGGTCCGCGGATCCGATTTCTTCTGGTTCCCCGTCTTGATTGAATAATGTAAATTGAAAATGGGCCAGAAATGAGATCCGCTGTAAAAACAGGACCGGATGCGGATCCAGAAAATCCGAACTCTGATCCGAACAAATGCGCTGCCCTCCGCGTGCTTGTTCGGAGCTTGGCCCCGCGCGGACGGCCCTGATGGGGGGGGTCAGGGCGCGCGACGATGGAACCCGCGCCAAGCGCGAGGCGAGGCACTATCGCGTGAGGGAGCGCACAGGCAATCCGCAGGGTCAGGAGACGCAGGACCGAAACGCACTTACGCAGGACGCACGATTTCCCTCTTTTGAGGTGAAGATGGCGATGATGAGTTCCGCGCGAACTTCATTGCACCCGACGGTGGTTATCTCGCACGCGTCTGCTCAAGACTTCAAGCCGTAGTTCTGGGCCCACGAGGGAAAACCTTTCGTCCTGGGGATGTATTGTCCTGCTGATGGCTTCATCTGGAGCGATGTACCTCGCCGCGTTGGTGTCTTATCTCCGTTCCCTTGCGCGTAGGTCTGTCTCACCATTTTCATCCACTTCTCAAGCAAGGCGGCATATGACGACACGCTGAAAGAGAGCAGACGATGAGCGAACGAAGACGTGCAATCATCTAGAAAACGTGTCTCGAAACGGAAACTGGTGAAGTCCGCTACCATTCCCGACGCTGAATGGAGTGCCCCCAAGACCATTCGGAATCTGTATCGAATATGGTGTATGATTTTTCAAGGCTCCAGGCCCCAGATTCCTTGAACTCCTGGGCGCTTCTGGTCATCCCCGTGTGACTTTTCCCAAGGCCTTCGGGGCGTGGTTGGGGGTCCACGCTTCCCAAATTTCCGACGATGGCCCCAGAGGACTTTCCTGGTCCTCTCTTGGGGGTCGCTTTGGCCGTCTTGGAGGCCCTGGGGGGGGCGGCCTAAGATGCTAAAGTCATTGAAACAGCTCAAGGCTTGCATTCAGAACGCCCGCTTCTGCGGTCGTAGTCAAGAGCGGCGAGCGGCAAACTACATCTGGCAATATCGCCCAAAAGTGGCTTCCGAGCCCCACGCAGGTCCCAAGATGCCCCCGAGACGGCCCCTAAGAGGGGGAGCTCGAACTGACATTTGGAGCCCTCCACCCCAAGATCATCTTGGGGTGGAGGGCCAAGATGGCCATCTTGGGCCATCTTGGCCATCTTGGGCCAAGATGGCCACCAAGATCGGCAGTCGCAGACATCTCAATCGATGCGCGCACTCGATGCAATTTCAAAATGCGAGCCCCAACTGGGCAAATCCATCGACATGTCAAGCTGCCGTCATGATGTTGCCCGTTTCGTCCCCGCGCAGCTGGCACAGTCCTGATCGGCATGACGAAGTTCGTGCTGTGCCCAGTTGTGGAAAGCGTTCCCTTTCGGGTGGATACCTCCGCTGGACTGTCGCAACCAATATCTACACTGCGACAAGAAATTCATTCGCGCGTGACCTTGGACGGGGCACTGTTCAACCTGCTTCATGTAAAACATGCGCTCTGAATCAGTCACGGAATAAAACCATCCACGATGACGTACGCACCAATCTGATGCACTGTGCTAACTTGCGATGTTGAGCAACCGTGGGATGAATCTGTTCGAAGTGGGCATGCAGAAGTATGCTGCTCATGTTGATCGACCCGGCCCCACTCCCCGGATCCTTGTACATCGGGCATTCGTAAGACGGGAATTGGCGGAGGTCCACCTCCCTCTTCGCATGCGGCCCTTTTGATTCGACTGCGATGCTGACACAGGGCGAACCTCGCGATGAACTATGCCCGCATCTCACCATTGCCGCGGCACCTGGCTCACCACGGTATTGACTGTTCTCTGGACATGGCTTCACCTGGAATGCTGTCATGTCGAGAGTACCCAGTACTTTGCAAAAACAGGTGCGAGGAAACTGTCAACACACACACACACACCTTTGATGACATATTGGAACTCGTGCGGTCTCTCTGGCACCTTGCACGTTCCACAACTATTTCACGCCTTGCGTCTGTCTGCGGGCTCGTTCTTGCCATCCGGTCTTTCCTGATGCTGCGATTTCAACCATCGAGCCACCCAAGTGACGCAAGCCATGCGAAATTTTGAACAACATCTTGACATTTGGTGCGAGTCCATGATCAATATGGTCGCCCTGCTTAGCCTATTCGACAAACACTGGACAACCACGACGAGCAGCCGTCATCTCACATTACATGTGCACCCCTCCCTCCTTTTTGCAGGGGACTATCCAAATCAGCGGAACTGGCACGTACAGCACCTGTCCAAGCGCTGAACAAAAGTAAGCACCAAACAATGTGGGAGGACGCTATGGCTTTCGAGCAGCCAACGTGTCATCAAAACGCATCGAGTCCAACCAGCCCTCTGGGCGCATGTGGTTTAGCATGCCTGGTTCTTCGAATTCCCTCTGGCCCTTCGAAGAGGAAGGTAACCCGTCCTCCCACCCCGTCCCCGGGGATCTGAGCAGGGGGGGGCGGTGATCTGAGCGCCCGCGATGACCCAACACTGGTCCAAGAGGGCCTCCACAACAGCACGCAGGACGACCCAAGGTGGCCCGGATGGCCGGCAGTACGGCTCCAAGCGGTCCCCTATCTTGGGGGGCGGAAAGATACGGATACGTGTTGTCCCCGGACCTCTCTTGGGGTGCGTTCTGACCGGAATTTCGAGGCGAATCCAGCGGTGACAACGAGGATTCCCCAGGAGGGCCAGGAGAGGCCGAAAACGAAGGGGGACAACACGTCTCCGTGTCTTTTTTTCTCCCCCGACCGTCGTGCTCCTGGACGGCTCCGAAGTGGCCCCCGCGCCTCCCGCCGCCGGCCCCGAGGAGGGGCCCCCGCGAGAGGTGCCCCGAGGAGTGCCCCCACGAGGAGCCTCTCCGCAGAGCCCCCCCCCCTCGGAGCGCCCAAGGGAGCACTCCACGGGAGGGCCCCCGCAAGGAAGCCGCGCAATGATGGAGCCCTGGCCTCGGCACGGCGTCACGAGAGGTGCCCCGAGGAGGGGCCCCGAGAGGTGCCCGAGGAGTGCCCACGAGGAGCCTCGGCAGAGCTCCCCCCCCCCCCTCCCGAGCTCCCAAGATCACTCCAAGGGAGCCCGTTAACGAAGCCGCAGTGGTGGATCCCTGGTCTCGACACGGGGCCCCGCATCGGGGCCGCTCCGGCTTCTGAACGGGCTCCGGGGGGATCAAGAGGACCAAGAGGCCCCAATGGAGCCCGAATGCGGCTCGAATGGGGTTCCGCGAGGCTCTCAGAGAGCTCCAATTTGGCAAATGTTGGGGCCTGCTCGGGCAAATCCTTTCTTCCGTTGACTGCCCCCCTCTTTGTTTCGCTATTGCTCCTTCACTTTCCTTCTGGCAACAGCTCGCTTAGGAACAACTTCTAGGAGTGCGATGCACATGCTCAAAGCGTCGATCATTCCTGTTTCCGCAACCTTTCATCAGTGCTAGAAAGTTCAAACTCCACAAACAGCAACCTCCCTAACATACACTACCGTTCCAAGCGACGCATGCTCGCGCATTGCATAGTGAGACAGCCGCGCAACAACTACACGATGCCAGTTTTAGAAGGCATGCCAAGAGAGTGAAGGTTGAGAGTGAACCAGTAGGGAAAACACTGTTGTCAGAAATCACGCAAGAGCATTCGAACGCCGCAACGGCTGGGCCTTGGGGTCGCTCTCTTGCAATTCCCACTTTTGCCAGTCCCACTTGCAGCCCTCCAGGAAAGTACCTGTGAGGCCAATAACTGCAACATGGCGATGCTTTCTGATAGACGCTTGGGGAACTCAATATTGAATTGCAGAAATACGCTCGAGCTCATGAACTGCCTACCGACTTTGCAGAGGCGCGAACCCACCTTCACTGCACTTACAACATCTGTGGGGAGACGCACCGCCGATACTTGTGTTCGAGTTTCAAAGTTGGCTCAGAACAACCCAACTCAATCGCAATACATGGCTAATCTGGGCGAATTTGCGCTAGCCAGCGCTGGGCAACTTGTCAATGACTGCCTCTTCGTCGTTGTCCCCCTTTCCCCTTTCACCCCTTCTTTTGCTCTGTCTCGTCCTCTGCCTCTTCCCCCTCCCTCAAACATGGAACCTGCACTGGCAATGATCACACAAGGACTCGTAAGCCCTTGCACAATACAACGAATGCGTCTGGCCGATCAGCCACAACATCGTCTATGGTGCGGTGGGGCACTCGCGACAATGCGACCATCGACAAAGACAATATGCTGAAACAAACGGGTGGGCACCATATGTGTAAACCCCGTTCTCTGGCCTCTCCTGCAAAGTAGAGGGTGGGAAGACCCGGATGCATCAACCATACTGCAACGTTTACAAATGCTCCTCGCATCATTGCACGCTTACTGGCATGGCGCATGTACACACCAGCGACAGTATGTGTACTTATGAACCAGCGAACATGTACACTTATCATCTCAGTTGTCTCGGCGTGAGGGGCTCCCGCCCACGCGAACCCATATCATATCGGACGCGCCTTGGCTGGTCTGCTCTCCCTGCTCCTCCTCCTGCCGCGAATCCAACCGGGCGCTCCGCGTAGGGGAGACGAAGCGTCCGGGCACTCTCGCAAAACGGCCGTGTAGCCGCTGGGGTACGCCCAGGGACTGCGCCTCCCGACATGGCCCCGGAGGAACCCAGACGAAATCGCAAAGGAGCCCTCCACGTGCCCTGCGCAAATCCTGCCCTCCTCGGTTCGGGGCCGGCCGTACTCCTCCTCCTGCTCCTCCTCCTGCTCCTCCTCCATCCTCCCTCTCTTGGGTTATGATGTCTAACCCAGCCCTCCATTCAACGGCATGCTCCTCCACAGCCCTGATCATGGCAACTCGTCTCGTCATCGTTTCTGAAATGGGCTGGTGGGGTTGCTCGAAGCGTCTAGAGTTGCTTGTTTGCAGGATTTTGGCATTCTCTCCTTTCCGGGCTTAATTTAGACCGGCCAAGACGACCCAACAGACCTTGAAGATCGCTCGAATGAAGGGGCCCTGGGACACACATAAATACACACAAATGGCAGGATTCACCATATTTTCAGATACGTTCTGGGTTTTTTGTCCTCCCCCCCACTTCCCATATTCTCCCCTATTTTCGGGGGAATCGACGATGAATTGTGTCTGTGTGGATTCTCCCCTCCTGACCAACAGACCCTCGAGATCGCTCGAAGCCGACTCGAGAGGCAAGTAAGGAGGGCCCAAGAGGGTCCCGAGACGGCCACGGGTGGCCGCCGAGTCGGCCAGGACGGGCCTATTCTCGCCTCCAGGATGCTCCCATGTGAAGGGGCCCTGGGACACACAAATAAATACACACAGATACAAGGATTCCCCATATTTTCAGATACTTTCTGGATTCTTGTCTTCCCCCCCACTTCCCATATTTTCCTGTATTTTCCTGGGGGTAGACGATTGATTGTGTCTGTGTGTTTTTTCCCCTCCTGACAAGTTGCCCTCCACGACGGCCTAGATGGCCCAAGATGGCCCCACTGCGGTCCAAGACGGCTCTAAGGCATCCCCGATGGCCCCAAGAGGCTCCCAAGCAAGAGCCCCACAAGAAGCCTGTACGAGGCCTCCTCCTCCTCCTCCTCCTCCTACTCCTCCTCGTCCTCCCTTCTCCTCTTTCTAATCATTATACTTATCCCCTCCTCCTCGCCCCCCCCTCTTCCCAAACGTGTTTTCCCAACGAGTTCCCCAACGGCTGGGGAAGCACACAGTCGTACAGCTCGGCCGAACTCAAGCCCACCGTTTGGCCACAGAGGCGCTCCCAGAGAAATGCAGGAGCAAGCGGTGACTCGCCGTAGGCGTCTTCGATCCGCCCCGTAGTCTGCGGAGGGGTGTCGGCGTGCCATATATATATTGTAGTTCTTTTTGGCCCTTTCCGCAAGTTCCCAGTGGCCTTCAGAACAACAGGAACAGCTATGAGTTTTTTCTTTTTGCCTCTTTGCTTCCCATGGGCATCTGGGGCCTCAGCGCGACCCAAGAATTGCCCAAGAGAGCACCAGGAGGGGTCGAGGCGGCCTCCAAGACGGCCCCGAGAGCGCCCAAGAGCGCCCCAAGAACACCCCAAGGGGCGCTCGAGAGCGTCCCTGAAGGGGGAGGCGAACCTGGGACCCCCCACTCTGTTGATCGACGCCCTGCAAGAGGCACGAGCTGTGAAGCTCACTGAGGTCCGCCAGAAGCCGCCGCGTCAGGGACTGCATGTCCTGAGCAAGTTCCGCCGTGGTCTCGGACCCAATCTGCTAGTGCGTGAGGAGCTTGATAAGGCGTTGCCGGTTGCGTGTGGTGATGTTGAGCCCGTGGACGGCAACACCAACCACAGCATTTTGCTTCTGCCGGTACTTCGCCACCGGGCTCCTGTACAAGGCGTTCCTTTGCAAGCACGTCGTTTTCGGCACCGCCTGATCCCGAGACTTCACCTCCTCCCGGCCTTGCCGTCAGGCCGCGCTCCTTCTGTCCCCCCTCTTTGTTAATTCAAGCTTCGCGCGGCCCGCTTGGCTTCGACTGGAAGAGGTGCGCTCTCGACCCGCGAATCAAAAAAGTGTGTTGATGTTGAGCTGAACTTAGCTCCTCGGCCTCTCTCGGATGCTCCCTCAGCCCCTGCCCAGGAGCAGATGATGTCGGCCTTGGTCGCCAACTTTGAAGCCAAAGCAGAGGCCGCAAACGATTCAGGGGCGATTTGACTCGGGTCGATCCCCCTCGTATTGGTGCTGTCACCCTCCGATCTTTCAAAGCGCAAAGCGCTGTCCATCCATCCATCCATCCATCCATCCATCCATCCATCCATCCATCCATCCATCCTCCTTCTCTTTCCTGCCCTCCCCCGTATTCGTTCCCTACAGGTCACTTCTCCAAATCGCAACCCAGGCGTGACGATAAGGCGGCCTGTGCGTTTCGCCTGATACATTGTCACGATGTGCGATTCTGCAACTTGGGCTGCGCATCAGTTGCACATCTGAAGCACAGGTCGTGTCCAAATTGAGGCATCACCTTAGCACCGCGCACACTCGTCTCGAAAGCTTGCAACTCTTGCGAAGGTGAAGGGCGGGGGCGTTTTCAGCATGTAGCTCTCCCACGAGCGCCGCGCGCATGAGTCTTAACAGGCTGCAGCAGTTACGAATGTATACGGGTGGCGATCTCAAAATGGAGCTCTCGCCTGAGCGGCGAGCACATTCGTCTGAAACGCATGCAGCACATACCAGGATTGGTGGTGGCTCTGTTTCAAACTGGGGCTCTCGTTTGATACTTCCATGCATCTGTGGCTTACTCTGGTGCTCCTTCTCCCCTCTCCCCCCCCAAGTGTTCACCCCGAAGGGCTTCCAGCACGGCTGAGGGAACGCGTAGTCCAAAAACTCTGCCTCGCTTTGGCCCAGCGCTTGGCTAGCTAGGCGTTTCGAGCAGCCAAGGGGCGGCGGTGACTCGCCGTAAACATCTTCCACGACAAGCGGCGCCTGCGGCGGGCTCCTCTTCTGCCTCACACCCCGACCAGAACAATTGCAGGCCGCACGCGGCTCTCCCCGCCATTCTGTGGGCGCCTTCGGGGTCGTTGGCACACCCCTCCCCGCAGGGCCGTGCTCTGCTGCATGGCGCAGATCCCGGCCAGAAACTGCAGATTCGCACGCAGCTCCCCGCCATTCTGTGGGTCGTTGGCACACCCCTCCCCACAAAGCCGTGCTCTGCTGCAACGCCGGGGCGGCGCAGCTCCCGGCTGGGACCCTCCGCGCGCGCCGCGCTCTCCCCGAGCGCCCCGCCGTGCTCGCCTCCTGTGGCCCCAGCCGCCCGGCGAGCGCGCAGCCCCCCCCCCGCCATTCTCTGTCGGCGCCTTCGGGGGGTCGTTGGCACGCCCCTCCCCGCAGGGCCACGCTCTGCTGCAGCGCGGGGGCGGCGCGGCTCCCGGCCAGAAATTGCAGCTTCGCACGCAGCTCCCCGCCATTCCGTGGGCGCCTCCGGGGCCGTCGGCACACCCCTCCCCACAGGGCCGCGCTCTGCTGCAACGCGGGGGCGGTTCGGACCCTCCGCGCGCGCCGAGCTCCCCAAGCGCCCCGCCGTGCTCGCCTCTCGTGGCCCCAGCCGCCCGGCGAGCGCGCAGCTCCCCCCCCCCCCGTCATTCTCTCGGCGCCTTCGGGGGGTCGTTGGCACGCCCCTCCCCGCAGGGCCGTGCTCTGCTGCAACGCCGGGGGCGGCGCAGCCTCCCGGCTGGGACCCTCCGCGCCCGCCACGCCCTCCCCCGAAGCGCCCCGCCGTGCGCGGCGCGGCGCGGCTCCGCAGCTCTGCCCAGGGCCGGAGCCCCTCGGGCACGGGGCAGCACAGCGCACGCGGGCGGGGCCTCTCTAGTGTGGGGCGTTTGTGGTTTTCTTTTTTTTGCTTGTTGTTTTTGTTGTTGTTGTTGATGGTGTTGTTGTTGTTGTTGTTGTTGCTGTTGTTGGTGGTGGTGTGGTTGTTTTTGTTGTGGTTGTTGGTGTGGTTGTCTTTGTTATGGTTGTTGTTATTGTTGTTGTTGTTGTTGTTATTGTTGTTGTTGTTGTTGTTGTTGTTGTTGTTGTTTGTTGCTGCTGCTGCTGCTGTTGTTGTTGTTGTTGTGGTTGTGGTTGTGGTTGTGGTTGTTGCTGTTGTTGTTGGGGTTGCTGTTGTTGTTGTTGTTGTTGTTGTTGTTGGTGTTGTTGTTATTATTGTTGTTGTTGTTGTTGTTGTTGTTGTTGTTGTTGTTGTTGTTATTGTTGCTGTTGTTGTGGTTGTTGTTGTGGTTGTTTGTTTGCTGCTTGTTTTGTTTGATTGCTGTTGATTTTTTGTCTTATGTTTACATATATATATATATATATATGATCCTTGGGCTCTTGCTCCGTCGGCATCTCGAAGTCGAACGTCAAGGTGTCGATGGGGATGGTGTACCTCGGCGCTTTCCCTCCAGGCCCAGGGGGGGAAGGAGGGCTCGATCGCCAGAGGCCTGGACGGTGGGAGGACCCTTTCGCCCTCCTCCCTCCCCTGCCGCTTCCCTCCTGCCTCCTGCCTCCTGCCTCCTCCTGCTACTCCTCCCTCCTGCCCCTAATCGTCCTCCGTTGTTCGATGGTGGCGCTGCAGTGCACAGCTGTTTGTGCAGTTCGAGGCATCTATTAAGCACACCTTCCTGAGGGATTCCATGCACGCTCGGCCCTCAGGTCTTTCCCCGAAGAACCCGAACAATCCTCCTCACTCCTTCCTCTGTCCTCCTCCCTACTCCTCCGTCCCGCTGCTGCTGCTGCTCCTCCTCTTCCTCCTGCTCCTCTTCCTTCCCCCCCCCCCCTCCTCCTCTAACAGCCAACTTTCTGATTCCTCCTCGCCCCATTCCGCCATGTCGTCCTCCTCCCTTCTCCCCCTCCCTTGTGCAACTACTCCATATGAATACTACTCTGCTCCCTTCCCCCGGAGACGGCCCACGAGCTGCGTGCCCACCTCCGCGTATGGTCTATCTACACCGGGTTTGTCCAACTTGGCTCGCCAATAATGCTTGCACTCCGACCGTTGCCCGTCCTTCGAAACTGGTGCCCCCGCTGAAGCGTGAGCCTCATGTTAGGATCGGAACTCTGCTCCCGTCGTTCAGACTGGGACTCCCGCCCCAACGCTGGTACTTTTCTTCTGGCTCCGGGTCCTTCCTCCTCGTTGGAGCCCGCCACCTTTCCTCTCCTCCACCTTCCCCTGGTCCTCCTGCCCCCCCCCGTTTCTTCTACTCCAGTTCCTGCTGCTGCGACTCGTCCCCGTCCTCCTCCTTCCCCCGTTCTCCTCCTGTTCCTCCTGCTCGCCCTCCTGCTCATACACCACATCCTCCTGCTCCTCCTCCTATGTATGCAGCTCTGCCATTCTTCCGATTGCGCTTAAAGACGATGAGGTCCGCTACGACACGCGTTCGCGGATACAGCAAGAATGAAAGCACGGGAAGAAGACGGATTGGAAGGACAAAATGGCAGGTATGGCGCGAGCGCACCTAGCTTGCCCTGCTCTCGCTCTTCTCGATCTCCCCTCCTCAGAAGCCCGCTACCCTGCCTCCTGGCACGTTAAGTGCTGTACAGTGCAAGCGCGGCCGCAAGAAACCCTCACAAGAAACCCAGCCCTGAAGACCCGCACGAGAGGTGCGACTGGGGGGAAGTCTGGGGCATTCCGAACGCAGCAGCTCCTTGAACGGCCGCAGGAAGTCACCGAGCAGCGTGCGGACAGGGCATTCTGACGAAACGCATATGGTTTCTTGATGCGCGCCCCCACTGTATGATGGTGCTCCCGCAGTCTTCCGACGCCGCCCTCCGCGCACGGGCCGCTCCGCCGAGGCTCCCCGGGCGGGCCCGACGCTACTCCGGGGGGCTACATCCTGAGCCCGCAGGGGCTCCCGTGATGGCCGAGGAGGGCCACCGAGGCGTCCGGGGCGGCCCACCCCTGCCCGCAGGAGGCGCCCAGCAACCCCTGAGAAGGACAAAGGCATCGATACGGTGGAGGGAAGCAATGAGTGAACACCCCCCCTGCCCCCCAAAAACTCAAAGTTGGCACGCGCGGGGGGAGACTGCGGTCGAGGTGCAACTCATCAGACCCACCACCAACTTTGACTATTGGGGGGAGGGGGAGGCGTTCACAGATGAATGTGGCATGAGTGTTCGCTACTTTTTTCCGAGGCCTGTATCCCATAGGTTCCTCAATGCGTTTCGCTTCCCAGGCCCTTCGGAGGAAGGTCAGTCCCCTTGCGGTCTTCGAGGGCCCAAAGGAGCCCACTGAGAGCCCCAAAGAGGGCCCCTAGCTGGGGCCCAAGAATGTCCAAAGCTGGCCCAAGAAGGCCGCCGGAGGGACCCAAGACGGGCCTAAGAGGGCCCCCAAACAGCCCAAGAAGGCCCAAAGACGCCCCATGAGAAGCGCCCAACCAAGAAGGCTCCCATAGACTCCGACACACCCCAGACGTGTTGGTAGGGTGGGGCAGGCGTGTTGCTTGAAAATGTCCCTGACAATTCACGCATGGCCTTGGAACTTACAACGCCCAGCAGTTACACTGATAGAGCACATGTGGTGAAGTGAATGGCACTCGCCAGAGCGCCGCGGACACTCGCCTTACAACTCGCAACAGCTCATGGAAGGCGGTTCCTCTACTAACTTGGGCTCCCGTTGGGGGCCCCTCAGACTCCAGTACACGAATCCTTTTCATCATGGGGATCCCGTTGGTCATCTACTTGACCTCTATGTCCCTCATGCGGATGTGGGTGATACTTCCAAGAGGGAGGCAGAGCGGCTCATGTTCAAAACAACGCTCTCGCCTCAAGGGCGTTTCGCCTGAGACTTTCTCACCGTCTGGGACCCTGACGCTTGGAATTCTCAACTGGTTAAAAATGGAGGGCGGACCGTTTTCACAGTGTGTTCCTCGCCTGAGTTCCGCGCGCATTCGCCACACACTGGTAACACTTACGCGGACGGATGGGGGGTCGTCTTCGAAATAGAGCTCTCGCACTAGCGCCGCGGGCAGTCGTTCTAAGAGGCAGCAACAGCTTCACGGATAGGTCCATTCAGCATCAAAACGAGGCTCTCGCCTGAGCGCCGCGTGCATCGTCCTTGACGCTTGCGGCAGCTTCCGCAATGGAGGACGGGCCGTCTTCAACATGGGACCCTCGCCTTCTTAGCGCCGCGCGCTCGCCTGAACGCGTGGCAGCAACGTCACGGACGGAGGAGGTGCCGTCTCCAAAAGTGTGCTGTCGCCTCCGGGCCCCTCGCATTCCCCTGAGACATCTGCAGCCGCTTCCGGGATGGAGGGCGGTTCCTTTGTGCAGTGGGGCTTCTGCCTCCACGCCGCGCACGCTTGTCCGAGACGCTGACACCGTTTTGCGGATCGAGGGGTGGTGATTTTCGAACTCGTGCCCTCACCTCAGAGCCGCGCGGGTTCGTTGTAAATCGTGCGCCGGCCAAAAAGGTTGGAGGTTGGAGGGCGGCTCTTTTTCGAAATGGGGCCCTCCCTTGAGACTTCCTTAAATCATAGAGACCGGAAGCTTCAACACATGCAGCACTGCGCGAATCGAGGGAAGCTCCTTTCCAACACGAAACTGTTGCTTGAGACTTCCTCGAACGATGACCACACATCTAACAATGCAGATCTTTTTCGAAACGGCCCCTCGCCAATATGGCAGGGTATTTCAAGTTTGGCTTTTCTTGTAGTGAAGAGGTAAGCTTCCAGGGGAGTGCGGAGAGGGGACTTAGAACGAGATGCAGCATTGCAGACTCACTGATGTATCTTGGTCTTACTCTGGTCCTCCTCCTCCTCCTCCTCCTTTTCCTCCTCCTCCTCCTCCTTCTCCTCCCTCTGATTCCTGATTCCTGATTCCTGATGGCGTGAGAAATGCTCGATTACCGCCCTCCCCCTCCAGGGCTGGTCGGCCCTCCGCGGCATGATCAAATTAAAACCAGGCGACCTCTAGAGCACCGCTCCAGGGGTTACCAGCAGGTGGGGGACACATGCATACATATACATATTATGTATAGTGCGAGGAAGTGGGAATCCTTCTCCTCCTCCTCATCCTCATCCTCCTTCTCCTCCTCCTCGTCATCCTTTCTCGTCCGCCTCCACCTCCGCCTCCTTCTCCCTCTTCCACGATCACTTCTCCATCAGATGCTCTACATCATCAATCTCACCTCCTCTCCCCTCCGCCTTCCCGTCCTTCTCGACCTCCCTCCTCCCTCCTTCTCCGCCTTATCTCTCCTTCCTCCTCCTGCTTCTTCTCCTCCCTCACTCCTTCCTCCTCCTGCTCTCTCTCCCCCCCTCTTTCCTTCTCCCTGCCCCCCCACTACCGTAGCGCAACGCACCTGTCCTCCTCGGAGGCGTGCGTCCGACCCACACGTGCAGCACAACCATCGCACCACGGATCGTGTCCCGAGCGGTACGGCCAGACAGCGCCAGCAACCGAACATACACCACAAGATTGTTCGGCGCGCGCGTCTCCCCTGTGGGGGCGGCACACACATAATAGTAGTAGGTTTGGGTGACGCCGATGCTGCGCCGCGAGAGGGGGACTCCCGCACACCGTCTTACTTTAGTGCGTGATGGGTTTTGTAAAGGTTGAGTGTTTGCCTCCTCCTCGTCTTCCTCTTCCTCCTTCTCCCCCTCCTCTTCCTGCTGCTCCTCCGCCTCTTCCTCCTCCTCCTCCTCCTCCTCCTCTTACTCATCTCTTCCCTTCCACCTCCCGTCTCTCCGTCCTCTTCCTCTTCCTCCACCTTGCCCCTCGTCCCCATCCTTCCGGCGTGCTCCCCATCCCGCCTCCTCTTTGTCCAAAGTGGTGCCGCGCAGAAGCAGGCGAGGCCAGTCGAGGCCCATCGGGCCAGGTCACGCCCGATCGGTGGGCAAGAGGAGAAAGGATAGGATAAGGATGAGGGGTGGTGCTCGCCATGGTGATGCGGATGAGGGGGGAGGAGGAAGAGGAGAGGAAGAGGAGGAAGAGGAGCACGTGGAGGAGATGACAGCACAACTGCTGCATGATAGGGGAAGCGGATGGGGAGATCGGGGAGGGTGTGGATCTAACGATCATGGTGAGGAGCGTGCGAACGCTGAGGGCCTCGATTGTGAGGGATGAGGAGAGAAAGGGACGTGAAGCTGGGGCGGGAGGAGACATCGACGGACGCATAGCGATGGGAGAGAGTGGAAGATCACCGGCCATCGCTGGAGCGGTCATTCCCCGTGTTTGTCTTTCCGATTTCGTGAAGGTATTCGTTGGCGAGATGCTCTGGTCTTCTCCACGAGGGTCCTCGCCGAGAAAAAAACACACACACACACGTCCGAGCGACGCCAAGACTAGGACGAGGGTCCGCAGGCGGCGGGACTGACAGGCCGGAGAGGGGACGGGGCCGCAGAGCCGCGCGCTTGCGGGCATAGTTCTGGGACGCCCCCGTGGTGAACGCCTGCCGCCCGCCCCACTTGCACCAAATCGTGTGAGGAGGTCCTCCTCCTCCTCCTCCTCCTCCTCCTCCTCCTCCTCCCTCTCCCCCCCCCTCCTCCTGCTCCTCCTCCTCCTGCTCCTCCTCCTCCTCCCTCTCCCTCCCCCCTCCTCCTGCTCCTCCTCCTCCTGTTCCTGTTCCTCCTCCTCCTCCTCCTCGTCCTCGTCCTCGTCCTCGCCCTCCTCCTCCTCCTGGGCGTGCCAACAGGTGGCGCACCTGCGGGAGGAGGCCCGCAGGGAATCGTGAACAGGAAAGAACGTGAGAGAGAAGGGAGAGTGCAGCGAGAAGAGGGGAAGAGGGTCATGCTGCTGATGTTGATGATGATCCAACCGGACCTAGGACACAATCACCTCTCTCAAGAACGTGAGACCCTCCACCAACCAAACTGAAGAAGATTCGAGGGTGCCCTCTCCAAAGATACACAAGAACATCCAACAAAATAAACCGCAACCCGAAATATCCTCACCCACCAGCCTACGTAAACTTGCAAGCCCAAGCATCCTCACTCGCCCGCGTAAGACTGCAACGCAAACCACATGTATTCTCTTCCACCCGCCTGAATCTGCGACCCAAGAAAAACCTTCATCCACCCTCCTATAGTTGCAAGCCCAGCGCGCTCACCCACGCGTAAACAAATGCCGTTCATGGTCGATTGCAATTCAAACCAGCGCCATTCAATTCAGCGCATCTCGTGACACTCAGATTGCGATTGGATTCATTATGTCTTTCCCCTAACATAGCACATTCCACCCCCATGCCCTCACACCACCGACGCATCCTCATCATCCCTGGCGCGAGTTCGTTCGGCAACAGGTCATCACCTCGGCTTAAGAATACCTGCACAATACACTCACCCCCTACCTTGCAACTACCACCCGAACGTCCTCACCCCCCTTGGCGCGAAATCTGCCAGGGAAGAGGATACTTATGGCAACGACGTTCCTGCCCTTCCTCAACGCTGTTCGCCAATATTCTGTGCCGTGGTTTGCCTCGTGTGGCTGTGTGGGCAACTCTCTTCTGAGTGCACCACGCGGCGTTCCTGCTGATGAGAACGTCTTCCCGCTATCAAAAGCCCCATCCACTCCGTGGCCGCCTCCCACCGCCAGCGCGAACTCAGGCCCGTTGCTGAGCGGCCCGCCCTCTTTCAGACCAGAGGCCGATCGGACCACCTCGCTCGCGTTGCTGCAAGGGTGCCCCGAATCTTCTGGGATTGACCTCTCCCGGGGTGTGTTCTGACCAGAATTTCGAAGCGAATCGAGCGGTGGCGGCGAGGGCCTCGAAGACGAGGCCAGGACAGGGACAACATCGAGCACGGAACAACTCGGGGCACGCGAGCTCTTTTGAGCAGTGACCGTCCGTCCCGGCATTCCTGCAGGCCTACCACGACATGTTCTGAGAACCCCAAAATGTTGTAAGAACAAACACAATGTTCTTAGGACACGAGCCCGATGTTTTTAAACCAAGACGGTCTCGGCCAGACATGTTCTGAGAGCATGTCGTGCAGAACACAAACGGTTCTTAGAACATCCTCTGGTGGGCCTTGAGGCGAGCCAGGGCGCGTCGGCGCAAATTCTGCTCCTCCCTCAAAGGAAGGGACTCCAACCGCTCCTCCCTCTTCTATTCCCTCTTCCCTATCCCCTCCCCCTCCTCCTCCTCCTCCATCGCCCTCCTCCTCCTCCTCCTCCTCCTCCTCCTCCTCCTCGCCTTCTTCTTGCAAAAAACAATGGCTTCGGAGGTGCTGCTCCCGCACTCGTGCTGCTCGCGCGAGGCCGCGCGTCCCTCGACGAGCCTGGGGCGCTCCGGCGCCGCCCCCGCAGCCTGAGTGAAGTAGATGCCGCTGATCCAGAACTTGACAGGAATGCCTCGGGAGGGGCCTCCTCCTCCGCTTCCTCCTCCTCCTCCTCCTCCTCCTCCTCTTCCTTCTCTTCCTCCTCCTCCTCCTCTTTTTTCTTCTCCTTCTCCTCCTCCTTCTCCTCTTCCTCCTCCTCCTTTTCCTCCGCCTCCTCCTACCACCCCTACCCCTCCCCCGTTCCTCCCCCTCCAGCCCCTCCCTCTCCCCGCTGATCCAGAACTTGACAGGGATGCCTCGGGAGGGGCGCACTGCCGATGCGACCGCGGCCACGCCAGGGGAGGAAGCGAGAGGCGGGTGCGAGGGACGCCTCCCCCCCCCCCCAACGCCTCACTGATCGTTTGGGAGGGAGGGGGGCGAGGCGGAGGGAAGAGCGCCAGCACGCAGCAGCCCGCACACGCCACGGGCGCGAGACGCGAACCCACCTGCAAGGGGAGAACACTCAGCTCACAAGCCTTGCGTGCCGGCGCCGCTGGCGGGGTGGGGGCGCGAGGGATGGCGGGGGAGAAACACGGCAGCAGCCCCTGGCCGCACCTGTCCAGCGCACCGAAAGAGCTCGAAGCGCCGCCCCGCGCCCGGGGGGAAGCTGCCGGGCCTGGCGGCCACGGGGAGCGCACGGCCGTGCTCGGGACCACGTGCTTCTCCTGGCCCTCATGCTCGTCTTCGCCCTTCCGATCCCCCCCCTCCTCCTCCTCCTCCTCCTCCTTCTCCTCCTCCTCCTCCTCCTCCTCCTCCTCCTCCTCCTCCTCCTGGCCCTGTGCCGGGGCCAGCGCTCTGACGTCCAAGGTGAGGGGCGCAACCCCACAAACCAGGGGCTCACGTGCAGGGTGCGCACTGCAAGGAGCCAGCAGGCCCTCACTGCTCCTTCCAGTGGTGTGGGTTCTCGGCCGATCCAGATCCCGCAGGGCCTGAGGGGGAGCCTGGTCGACGGCCGTCCAGCAGCGCAAAGCCGCACTTAGCCTGGCAGGCTGTCCTACGCAGGACCATGGTCTCCTGGCCCTCCTCCTTCTCCTCCTCCTCCTCCTCCTCCTCCTCCTCCTCCTCTCCTTATCCTTCTCCTTCTCCTCCTCTTCTCCTCCTCCTCCTCCTCCTCCTCCATCTCGTGCTCCCTGTCCCCTGGCGACGCGCCAGGAGATGCCCAGGCGTCCCGCTAGTTCAGGCGACCTCGGTGCCCCCAAAGCTCGATTCCGCTTCCGACTTCCCTTGTCCTCCATCGTCCACTCTCCACCCTCCCTGCGCCCTCCCTCCTCCACAAATCACTCCTCCCTCCTCCGCTCTCCCTCCCAGCTCCCTCCGATCTCCCTCCCTGCTTCCTCCCTCCTCCCGTCCTCCCTGCCTCCCTCCTCCCCTCCTCATTAGAGTTACTCGATCTGAATACTGCTCTCTCTCTCTCTCTCTTTCTCCCCTCTCCTCTCTCTCTCTCTCTTTCTCCCTCTCTCTCTCCTCTCTCTCTCTATCCCGAGGACGCGCGGAGAGCAGCGCGCGCCTCCTGCCCGTGATGTTTTTTCTGACCCGCAGGCCGGGTCCGAGTTGCTCTTTCTTGCGGGACGGGGAAATGACCACAGCCACCAAGGAGGAGGAGGAGGAGGAGGAGGAGGAGGAGGATGAGGAGGAGGAGGAGGAGGAGGAGGAGGAGGAGGAGTTGTTCTTTGTTGCTGCTGGCTGGACGGCGGCAGCAAAAGAAAAACAGTGGCTGTGGTCGTTTTCACGCCCCGTGTTTCTTGCGTGCCTGTTCTGTCCGACCTCCCTGGGTCCTTCCAGGATGGTGCTCCCGCTGAGGCGTGGGCCTCATTTTGGGGCTTGGGGCGGTGCCCCCCGTCGCTCCGAATGGCGCTCTCGCCCAAGTCACAAACCATCTTTCTGGCTCCGAGTCCCTGCTCATCGTTGCCGCCCCGTCCTTTCCCCTCATCCGCCTTCCCCTTGTTCTCTTGCTCCTCCCACTCCTTCCACTCCAATTCCTACTGCTGCTGTTCGTTGTCGTCCTCCTCCTTCCTCATCCTCCAAGTGTTCCTCCTGTTCATCCGCCACCTCCTCCTCTTCTTCCAGATATGTACACACATTCCCATTGTCCGATTGCGCGTAACAAGATGGGGTCGTCTTGGAGCTCCAGGTCCGCTATGACACGCGTCCGCAGGTAGAGGCACAAGCAACACAATGGAAAGGACGGGTGGGAGGGGTAGAATGTCAGACCCCCCTGCTCCTGCTCCTCCTCCTGCTCCTCCTCCTCCCTGGCGTCTCAATGACAAAGCATCCAGAGCTCCTCCTCTGCTAACCTTTGATTTCCCTATGCTCTCTGCAACAGCGCTACATTGGGCACTGTACCAACATGCCAAGCTTCAAGTGCAACATCCTCGCCTTGGTCTATCCAGTTCTGGAAGAATTTCAGGCGCTCTATCAAATCATTCGTGTAGCTGCCCAATGGCTTCAAGGACGGGTAGCTGCTGGCAAGCCACAGTGATGGCGTCTTCCTCCCCTGCATCTATCATCATTCGGTTATGATGTCGCACGTGAGGCGAGAAATGGATGAGGGCAAATGCTCATGTTTGCGCGGCTGCAGGCTCGCTGATACACTGCAGTCACTGAAGCCGTCGGCTAAACATACTCTTGGCAGTGCGAGACGCAGGGGAAACTCATTCCTGTGGAGGTCCGCCACCGTGCCTGCAGCACGTCGTGGAGTGCCCCAAGGCTCGTGGAGCCCTGAGAACTGTGCCGTGTTTCGAAAGTTTTACGGGCCCGGGCCACTGGTCTCACAATGACTTCTGTAGATTCCCCAGGCTTCCCCCTGGGATTTCTGGGGATTCCCCGGGGTTTCCAAGGATTCCCTGGGCTTGGCGCGAACGTCCTCCAGCAGCGCAGCCGGCCAAACGTGGGCCCAAAAAGCGCCCAAGATGGCCGACGATGCCTCCGAGACGGCCCAAGAGTGCCCCATTACCCCCACGGTGGCCTCGACACAGCCCAAGAGGGCCCCAAGAGGCACAAATCACTGATTTCCCTGAAGTTTTTGAAGCGTTTTGGCCTTCTCGCCTTTTCGGCTTCCCGACGCTCCAACATGGCCCACGAGGCCCCCAAGATCGCCCCGAGCCGGCCCCAAAGGCCCTCAAGGGGGCCCCAAGACGGCCCAAGCGAGCCCAAAGACGGCCCCAAGAGGAGGCCCAGATGGGGAATCCGAGAGGACATTTCTAGCCCTCGGCCCCGAGGGCCCCCCAGGAAGCCCCCAAGAGACCTCAAGAGGGTTCAAAGACGCCCCCAAGAGGCTCCCAAGATGCCCCCCACCTGCTTCCAAGAGGCCCCCGAGAGAACGCCTCGAAGACGCATCCCTGAGAACTCTGACCCGCAACCTAGGCACGGTGGCGGGATGGGCCGAATGCCACTGGAGATAGGGGCCATGCCTTCCACGGTCTCTCCAGAGAGGCTCTCGAGACTCCAACTCCACTGTTTATGTATTGGCGCACGCTCATTCCTCCTGACTCCTTCCCCTCCTCCGTCTCGCCCTCGTCCTCCCCATACCTCCAACAACAACTTTGTTCGCGCCGCTGGTCCTGCCAACTGTCGACTTCCTCTGCGGGGGCTGTTTTTCGCGAGTAGCTTTTCGCTGATGAAGGGGCCCTAGGACACACCGAAGACCCGAATTTCGGGTTGGGGGGGGTATGGGCTCCATATATGTTTTTTTCTATGTTCCCGGACCCCCCCCACTAGAAATCGAGGGTAAATCTGAGCCTTCGGGCTGGGTTGGGGTGGTTTGGTGGGTGGTGACCTCCCTCCTGAGGTTGTCCGGCAGATCTCCCGCCCCTCCGCGCGCTGTTTCTCTCTCTCACACACATAATTTCTGTCTTGCGTACTTACAAATCCAAAGGGGAGAGAAGTGCACAGCAGGGGAGGGAGCGAAGAGGGTCAAGGAGCCGATCTCCAGTAGATGGACAATATATTCGAACCCTTGCACATTCGAGGGAGATTTTAAATCACCCCCGCGCCCCCGACATCAATGTTGGTCTCAGTAAAGGCGGTGCTTTGGGGTTCGAATATTTCTGTCCACTCACGTCGCCCCCGTCGCCACGCCATCAGTACAAGTTCGGGGGGTCTGGGGGGCATCTTGGGCCACAGGGTTCGGATGTAATGTCCATGTGCGGTCCCTCTCTTCTCCACCCTCCCTCCTGAGGTTGTCCGGCAGATCTCCCGCCTCCCGCCCCTCCGCGCGCTGTTTCTCTCACACACATACAGTCGGGGCGTTCACCTAAGGAACCCTAAATAAGGAACGAGGCCCCCTTTTTCCATAAGTTAACCTTCGACTTCCTGTCGAAGACATAAGGGAAGCCCGAGGCAAGCTGTGAAACACCCGAGGAACGCGGAGCCCCTCCCCAACGAAAAGGGTTCCTTCTTCAGGGCCCCGACCGTAATCTCTGTCGTGCGTATTTGAAAACCCAGATGCTGTCGGTGCTTCGAGCTGGTGCTCCCGCTGCGGCGTGGGCCTCACATTCGGCTCCGCGCGCCGTGCCCGGCGTCCAGGGTGGCGCTCTTCTGCCACAGCGCGGGCCCCTTTTTCTGGATCCGCGCCCTGCTTCATTGTGGTCCCCCCCCCTCATTTTCCCTCGTACGCCTTCCCCTGGTCCTCCTTTCCCTCCCGACCCTGCCGCTTGAGTTCCTGCTGCTGCTGTTCGTCCTCATCCTCTTCCTCCCGCGCATCCCCTCATGCTCACCCGCCACCTTCTCCCCCTCTGAGCACGCAGCTCAATTTGTTCCGATTGCGCATAACACGGAGTGAACTTTCAGTGTGAGTCGCAGGTCGGCTATGACATGCGTCCGCGAGGGATAGGATGTCAGATGAGGCGCGATCGCACCAAGCTTGCCCCCCCCCCTCCTCTCCCTGCTCCCTCCTCCTCCTCCTCCTCCTCCTCCTCCTCCTCCTCCTCCTCCTCCTCCTCCTCCCCCCATCCAACGCCAGTGCCCACGTTAGCATGACGACACGTGCTAAAGAAGCATGCCAACATCACTAGCCGAGTGAAGCAACATGCGAATGCACCCCCTTCACAACTCTCCCGTTGAAGATGGAGTTGAACACTTGCTCCAGATCCTCGCTCATCAGCAACAGCCCCTTCAAGGCCTTCTGTATGTCGTGCAGGCTCGCCTTGATGACGTGGGTGAGCCTGCCCGCCCGGTACTCCCGACATGTACCTCCTCTCCGTCTCGGGTGCACGCTCCTCCTCCTCCTCCTCCTCCTCCTCCTCCTCCTCCTCCTCCTCACAGCAACAACAACAACCACCTCGCCTGCACGTCCCTCTGCACAACCAGCAGCAGCAACAACAGCAACAGCAACAACCAAAACACACATAACACCACTCCGACTTGACGACACTTGCAGCTGGGACATCTTGCGAAACGTGGAAGAAGTCACGGAGTGACACGGCTGACCGTACACGAATCCTGGCCTGAGAGCACTCGCAAATGCTCAGCTGCACCGCCTCTCTGCTTGGGACCATTGGTTTGCCCCTCCGATTGAAGCGCGTCAACTCTTGGATCAGCACAGTGTTCATGGACTCTTCGTACATAGTTGGGTACATCTCCTGATAGAGCGCTGTACAGAAGACGCTTGCAACGACCACCTACACATCATCATACGAATGAAGCGAGTGCCAGCGGCAACGAAAACGCGGCACGACAATTCCGAACAAACATGCCACTTGTTTAGCGTAGAGAGGCCAGCTGACGGGCACGGGCACGGGCACCGACGCACGACAGACCTCCCAATGTGAACGGGAACGACCTCGCCCTGAAAAGATGTGGATCCCCCCCGCGAAGCGCGAACCGTTAAGGCGCTGCTGCATCTCGGGCTACAAGCACATCTTGCGCTATGATGGCAACATGCGCCGCTCGACATGGCATACGGCTTGGTCTACGTTGTCGTCCGCACACAGGGTGCTTGGAACAGCGAGCGTGCAGCGGAGGGCTCGCCGCGCCGCACGGGCCACCGGTTCGCACTTCCTGGACTTGCTGAGCCGACCAGCTGCGCGTGCCTCAGCCGAGAGCTGCCCCCCCACATACTCGCGCGCACACGCACACACATGCGCGCACACCGACACGCGCGCGCACACGCGCACCCCTGGGTTCACGCAGATTTGCAAATGTTCGGCCCGGCGCCAGTGGGCAGAGACGGCCCTCGAAGAAGGATCTCGCTTCCTGCACCTGCGCCAGGTCCCAGGGCTCGGGCGTACGGCGAAGGATGTCTTCGGTCACCTCCCTCCCACACTCGCACCGCATGACCTCTGAAATGGGAGGAGGGAGGAGGAGGAGGGAGGAGGAGGGAGGAGGAGGAGGGAGGAGGAGGAGGAGGAGGAGGAGGGGGAGGAGGGGAGGAGGAGGAGGAGGAGGAGGAGGAGGGGGAGGGGGAGGGGGGAGGAGGAGGAGGAGGAGGAGGAGGAGGAGGAGGAGGAGGAGGAGGAGGAGGAGGAGGAGGAGGAGGGGGAGGGGGAGGGGGAGGAGGAGGAGGAGGAGGCATCGAACTGTGTCCCTTGCCGATGCTGCCCCGCCCGTGAAGCCAGAAAATGAGCTGCGCCGCTTGGGCGCGGCCACCACCATGCCCACCCGCCGTGCCGTACTCATGACTCCATCGGCCCTCAGGGCGTATGTGGTTCAACGAGCTCGTCCCTCCATCGCACTCCTTCCAAGTCGGGAGGAGGCTTACCATTGCTCCTTGCCAATGAACAGGCCCTCCCCCTCTCGACGGGTCGCCAGTCGGGAAACATGAGCACAATCCCAGCCATCCCTGTCAAAAACAACGCAGGGCGTACGCGGCGGCAACAACCATGGTCATGAGCGGGGACTCTGCGACCACTTTGCATGTGCCGTCTGGGCATGGCAGGGGTGTGAGCATGTTTGCCCGCTGCGCGCTGCTCTGCGATCCCTGCCAGCAATGAATGCGAACTTGTTGCAAGTTCACAGACCATACACACCGCTCCGCTCCGCACGTGTTTTTGACAAGGATTGTGGGGTGGGTAGGGGGGGGTGGGGGGTGGGTGAGTGGGGTGGGGGGGGGGGATGGGGGGCCGACGCGCTGTTCGATGTGTGCTGACACGTGCGCTGGCGCACCTGTCGCCGCCTGGCGCACTCTGCGAAATGTCACGCACGTGGTGCGGCTGGAGCACGTGCTACAACTGGCGCGCGCGGCCCATCTGGCGCACCAGGCGCGCTTGGCATGCTTGGGCCCCTGTGTCACCTGGCGCACATGGTGCGCGTGGCGCACCTGGCACTCTTCACCTCGCGAACGCCGCGCGTCTGGCGCCAGCATCGGTTCGCATTGTCCGATGGCGGCAGATGCTTATGTTGAGCCCCTGGTGCTGCTGATATGGTGGGTGGGCGGGTGGCAATGAGCGAGGCATCTTGTGAAGTAGGCCCTTGGAACTTGGCCCCTCCCCCAAACCTCCGCCCTTGGGTCTTGGCGGGGGGGGTCGGGCGTGTCGCGCGAAAGCGCCCAAGATGGACCCATAGTGCCCCACGGGTCCTCGACGATAACACCACACCGCCCGATATGGCAGCCTACAGCTTCCAACGTGCATCCGCTACGCCTCAAGATCGTCAGAAGGGGGGGGGGGCACGGGGCCCCGGAGCCTGCCAGGCACGCCCTCGAGAGGCTACAACCTGTCGAGCACATACTTGTTCATTATTCTGGTTGTTCGTGTGTTGTTGTTTTTTCGCATGCTCGCTGTTTAGATTCTGGCTATCTTTCGAACCTCCAAAGATGACGAGCCCCACGGGGAGCCCACAAGAGCCCCAACGCGGTCCCAAGAGCGCCCAAGAGTGCCTCCCAAACCGCCCCAATATGCTACGGTTCGACCTCTGGCGGGAGAGGCATGAGCGTACTTAGAAATCATCTCCTCGGATCGATTGCCTCAAAGATGCCCTCTCCCCCCCAGACCCCAAGAGGGCTCCGACAGAGCACCACGATGGCCCCATGCGAACCCCCCCAAGAGGGCCCAAGGAGCAGCCCCATCGCCGTCCAACACTGCCAGTACGCCTCCAACAAGCGAACTATCAGCGACTGGCATAGACGGTAGGCGCACTGATGCATGCTGCCGAAATCCCCAAATTAAGACAACTCGCCCGTTCATCGTTTATTGATGGGCTGGTGGGGACACGCGACGCGCCAAGAATTTCAAATCACATATCTGTGCTGACAACTTCTGCTACATTGAAACCGTGCCGTTGCAAGCCTCCCCTCGAACTTCGGGCTTAAGGGGTTACACTCATACACGCCCCTTGTGAGCTATAGTGGGGTACCAAGTGTGGTATACATTGCAATGGAGGGGGCATGGCGTGCTACTGAAGGTGGGATCTGCTTGCGGTGTAGGTGCTGTTGTTATCCGGCTGCTCCAGAACGGCAAGCCCCCCCCATCAAAAATCACCCCAAAGGGGCCTGGACACGGGGGGGGGAGGGGTGCAAGGGGTCATGGCGTCCAGTGTTTCTCTGGATGGCGCCACACATGGAGCATACAAAGACCTATTGCCCCCAATGCGGCGCAAGATGGCCCCCGCTGGCCCCATGGTGCCCCCAACTTGCCCCCACGACGCCCCGATACCGCCCCACGATGGGCCTGCACGGCCCCCCCAGGCCTCACCCGGATGACCCCGACCTGCCCGATCAATTGAGCCGCATGTTGTTCTTGCAGCTGGGCTTCGCCATCCCGCGTGTCTGGGCTCCCCGTTGACCTCTCGTGCCCCAAGATGGCTCAGGCATGGCACGCAGTGCCTCTCCAGGTGCGCCTAGAACTGCTCCACGAGAGCCCAGAAAAGGCTGACAACACGCCCCGACCTACACGGTGGGGGTGTTGGTTAAGGAACGTGCCCAGGAAGCTTCAGGCCCTGGAGGCTTCCTTATCTGATGAGTGCTAGGGCGGCGGTGGTATCCATGACCACTCCATGATTGGAGTTCCACTGGCTTCCAGACCCTGGATTCCTTATCGAAGGTTTCCTTATCCAATGCCCCCGACCTATAGCTCAAGCTGTGTTTTCCATGCCCCAATCAAAGGGGGGCATACTTTGCAACCGTCCCCTGCTGTCCATGGCGTCCACGGCTGCTTCCAGGAGGCCCGCAAACCCCCCTCCCTTTCCTTTACTGGTTCAAACGGAGCCTCAAGAGTGCCCCCCCCAAACAAAAACATACTCTGCACGGTGTCCTGATGTTCTGGAATGCCTCTTGCTACCTATTTTGTGGGAGCTGGTTGGGCTGGCCCGTTCGTTGGCTTGCCTACTTTTCCATCGTCGTTTCACAGATGTTCTCTCCCTTCCTTTTCATGAGCAGTCACTTACCTGGTTATCGTTGCTGGATGGGCGGACGAGGGTTGCCAACTCAAGCATGTGTGAAACTAGAAATAATATGAGCTAGTCTGGGAGCAAAGTCGCACATTGCGTATGTGAGCCCTGACACCATTCGCAATTTTGGGACCATCGCCCGAACGCGGAACGCATATCGAGCGTAGCACCGCAACACCAGTGGGGGTCGGACCCTGTGGATTCGACCGTCTGCTTGTGGTGCGCCGTATGTTATGACGAAGGCGACCGCAACTTCAGCCGTCCTGCTGCTGGTTGCGCTAAGTTGAGCCCCCGAGCGCCGACTTTTCAAACATTAGCCGAGTGGCGCCAGACCGTACAACATGTTGCTATCGGTTGCGGCATGGGTTGCGCCTTCGACCGCCGAGACAAACGACGATCTGCGACTGGTTGGTGCACACGTTCTGCCGAGGGCTGCCGGTACTAAGACCATCTTGTTGGATGTTGATGAGCCGAGGGCCGCCGATACATAAAACGTGCTCATGTCGGTTGTGCCGAAACTTGCGCCCTCGACCGACAGCACGATCACTATTTGCTATGTGTTGTGCCACGGGTTGCGCCCTCGGTTGCCGACGCTCAAACGTCATCGGGTGCGCTGTAGCCTGCGCCGGTGCCACCTGAACTTAGGACGTCCTGCCATCTATTGCCGAAGCGCAGCACGTCATGCCATTGTTTGCCGAATCGCAGCAGGTCGTGCTATTGTTTGCAGCATAAGCTGTGGCCTCGGCAGCCGACACTTGAAACATATTGGCATTGGTTGCGCCATAGGGAGCGGCTTCGGCTGCTAATCTGTCCTGCTTTTGGTTACGCCATCGGTTACGCCTTTGGCAGACGAGACGAAGCCGTCGCGTATGTGGTTCAATCGTAGGTGCTACCCCGCCCCCTGGCCGCTGACACTGTCAACGTACTGCTAATCAGTGAGACCAGTTCAGCCCAGTCCTGTTTTACACACTGAACAACAATTTCGAGCTGCGCCAGGGGATATACTGACATGCTGCAACCTGGGCCCTGCTACACTGATGCTCTACGTAGCCTGGGCGCGCTAAACAGAATAATGCCTGCATGTCCACATCCTGGTGTGTACTGCATCTTCCGGAAATGCTGGCACCACGATTCACATTGGTAGCAGCTGGGCACGCTGCCCTGTCCACAGCTCGCCTGAGTGAGACCAAAATCCACCGATGCGCATGCTGTAATCACGGGGGCATAATGTACTCTTACTAACTTTCAGGCTGCGCTTCTGCCTGCGTTCGGATCGCTCCAGCAGAAGTGCACCACGCAGGGGCATTTGATCTTCGTGCGTCCCACCAGCAAGCATACAGTGGAACGGGTCGTGCGGGCTTGCTCCAACAACCATGCACGAAACCACGCCTCTCTAAACTATGCTTCGCTCGCAGAAGCGAATGTCGGAGATTAGCCAGCGCAAGCCCGTGCAGCAGGAACACATGGAGGACGATAAGCGTGAAACATGGGAGGAGGTGTTGTCATTGGGAGGGCAAGATCCCCTACTCAAGAAGGTACCCCCGGGACCCTCTCCGGCGCGCCTGATTTCAGCGCAATGCCACAATTCCAAGCGAGCCCTGACCCATGACCCGGGCATAGACCCGTCAGGAGGCAGAAACAGATCCACAGATTGCCACTTGAAACTCACGCTCTTTCTGGCCATCGCTCGGACGTCCATTCCCTGTGCGTTATTCGGTTTCGTGCGGGTTTTTTTTCGCAGGATGATCCAGGATGCTCCTTGATAATCCCCGCCGAGAAAAAAGTGCACACGTCCGAGCGATACCAAGCTTTGGACACATTGGGCATGACCAGCGCGTGACAGAACACATGCGACGCCGAACCCTGCATTGGGAGCGACGGTCGCTCGGGCCCTCCCGGCTGCCTCGCGGATCGTGTCCTCTGACGAGGAGCCACCACCTCCTGCGGCCTGGAGGGGGAGAGCGGTGAGCCGTCGATTGCAGCCCGCCGCACGATCTCAGCTAGATGTATGGCCACCAACACATGAGAACCTGCATGGATGCGACACCTTGAGCAGTGTCACCCCCACGGGGTGCAACAACTTGCGCTCTCTTCTGAATCTCCTTGGGTGCGACCGTGGTTGGGAGACACAAAAACAATGAAGGAACAGACATGTGGATCTCCTTGGAAAGATTTCGAAGGGACGCTCATGCTCTTGCACAAAAGATATATCCGTCCGGGTCTGGCAAATTGACCATACCCTCAACCAAACACTCAACGTCTCCTACAACTTGGCTGAGCTGTACATCGTTTTCCCTCGATGGGTCGACCCGGGTACCAGGCCGAGTAACACGTGGTACTGAACAAGTCTGGGCTGGCGAGGGGTTTCCAGCGGCAGCGCTGACCAAACCATCAACTACGCCGACCGCTCCTGCAACCGCTACGCCTCAGCGTTCGTTCAGCGACGCGTCTGAGCGCGACAGACTCACACCGGCTGGCCGAATGGCTTGACATGAAACTTGCACGGGTATGATCTTCGTGATGATTGTGGACACCGACCCCCCGTGGTCTGCACCGATGAGGTCGAGGAAGAGCAGCAGTGAGGGAGTTGCATTTGTAATGCTTAGCTTACGTCGCACAACCTGGGGGATGATGTCTGCCTCCTCTTACCCTCCGGCTGGCCACTTTCTTACATTATGGAGCATCCTGCGTACAACAAACCCAAACACTTTCATGATGCAGATGCGGTCGGAGTCAGGCTGACTGGTAGGCGCAAAAGTGTGCGATGACGTCCTGTCCAACGGTGAGGAGAAGATTCTCCATCAGACTGTACGTCTCGTTCTGCTCCCGCGTAAGATTCGCGTTTTCGTGAAAACCTCGGCGCCCCATCAACCACCAAGAAACCTGAAAGACACGAATCCTTTACCATGTGTGCATGTGTGTTGTGCGTGCCAGCTGTTCGCTTTAATTCGCACCCGACTGGCGCGTTCGACTACGTTCGTTCGCACTTGGCACCTCCACCTGCCGACCGCGCCTGAGGCTCCTCTGCGCCGCGGGCGTAAGAAGTGTGCGTGCCAACTGGACGACAAATTCGCCGATCCCTTCTGTGAAATTCAGGTCGAACACAATGTAGCTGCAGGTGAGCTGAGCTCTTAACAAGTATCTCTCTGATGTGGCTCTCTCTCTCTCTCTCGCTGGTGCTCTTATTCCCTGTTATCGCTGGCGTCTGGCTCAGTGGGTGGCGAGGGCGGACGCGCTTGTTCACACCATACTCGAGTTTTGTGATACTGAGATATCAATCTCAATTGTTTTAGTTGCGTGTATTACCAATATCCTGGAACTGGAGAGTTCCGAGGCTGCGAACTTATGCACTGTGAGTACCCGTACAACTCATGCTGGTGCTCTATTTCGTTTTCGTGCTCGTGCAAGACACTTGCGCACTCCATAACTATCTTGGCCGTCGTATCGCCTGCAGGCCAGTAGGACCCGACGTCATAGGCATCGAAACTCTCAATAAACTGGCGACGGCGAAGCAGCTGACCAACAGCAACCCCTTCTACGTTGACAGGGAAGGAATTGCTCACTACATCGGAGACCCCGCCTACGAATGAGAGTATGGGGAGAGGGCGATGCTAGGGTACGATGCGAGTGAAGAGAAGAACCAGAAGTTCTACGAAAACGACCCGCCCTCCATCCGTGAAGCTCTTGCAATTTGTTGCAACGGATGTGCGCGGTGCTCTGGCGAGAACAGCATTTTGAAAATCACCCGCCCTCAATCCGTGAAGTTGCTTCAAAATTTAAGCTTCAAAATTGTGAATGGTACGCAGGTCTCAGGCGAAACGCCCGGTCAGCCATTTCGACTGGCCTCGGGGTGCGACGGGGACGAGTTATTTACAAGGAGGAGGGATGGATGATGATGATGCTGATGATGATGATGATGCTGATGGTAATGAAGAAGATGATGATGATGAGGGGGAGTATAACGACGACGACAAGGATGACGTTGACGATGACGATGATGACGATGACGATGCTGATGATGCTGATGATGCTGATGACGACGAGGAAGTGGAAGTGGAAGCGAAACAGAAAGAAGGACAAGGAATACTGGTGGAGGGGGCGGGAGAGAGGGAAGGCGAGGGGTAGGAGAAGATGTGTGGAGGATGTGCAGGATGAGGAACGGACAGGTCGATTTTCGTGAACTGCATACCGAGAAAGGGGGATCATGTTGCTCCCAGGCGCCGGATCGACAATCCCTTTTGCGCCCACCAGCGTGGCGTGCTTGCAAATGCGAACGAGTTCCTACACATTCGTGCTGCAACCACCATCATTTCTAGATGTCACGTGATTCACATCAGTGGGTCGACTTCCGTCGTGCCGAGCATGCAAAAGGGGCGACTTACCAAGATGCGTTGCACATATCATGCCTGCTCTTCCGCCCTGGAGCCGTATACGCCAGGAGGCACCACCATACTCATTTTGCCAATGGCCTCACACACTTCAAAGAATTGGACAACATGTCGAGGCTCAAGATAGCTCGTGTGCCCACATGCTTGACTCTTCACTGATTGCATGTTGCGGCTCTTTGCAACATGTCACATGGACGTACTTGTGACTTGTGCACCGCCAGAAAATGCACACACCCAGCAAGAATGTGAATCATCCCGCACCAGAGCGCGGTTCAGCCATTCACTGCTTGCTACAAAACGCATGCAAAACCCTTTGCTGCGGGGAATGCGCAAGCGCGAAAACGAGCACAGCAGACAGAAGCAGCACACAAGCCACACCCACAACACCCAAGCACACACACTCACACACACACATGCACACATCTACACACATACGCACATACACACAGGCGCACGCAAAAGCACACGCACACACAACACACACAACACACACGCCCACAGCACACGCAGTCAACACACACACACACCACGGAGAAGTCACGCGCAGGTGGGAGCAGGGCAGAGAAACGCCGGGCGGCGCAGGCAACCGCGGGAGGACGTTGCCGAGCCGTCGAGCGGCAGCGGCCGCTGAGACAGGGCGGGCAGGCGAAGCGCAGAGTCGGCGGACAACACGGGGGGGCGAACGGGCAACGGGGCGTGAAAGGGCGCACGCACAGGGCCGCGGAGAGAGCGGCCGAGAGGCCAAGCGAGGACGCCACCGGCAGGCCGGAGGCAAGGCAGGCGGCGAAGGCGCGGAACGTGCACACGGAGAGGCCCACCCACGCACGCCCGCGGGCTCACACGCACACAAGCACACACACACATGCACGCGGGCACGCACACATGCGCGCACGCACGCACGCACACACGCACGCACGCACACACACGCACACACCCAAACAGACACACACACACACACACACGCACACACGCACACAGATGCAGACAAAAACACACACACACACATAGACACAGACACACATACACAAGCGCACATACGCACACGCACACGCACACGCACGCACGCACACACGCACACTCGCATACTCACACGCACGCACGCACGCATGCGTGCACACGCACACACACGCACACACACGCACACATAAACTCACACACACACACACATTCACACACATTCACCCACCCACCCATTCACCCACCCACCCTTACAATACACAACACACATACACACGCGTACACACAAACACACACACACACACACGCAGACACACACGCAGACACGAATGCGCACGACCATCAGATCTTGACATCCAAACGGGCCCTCATCATGAGAATGAGGAACCCTCGAAACATTCGTCGCTCATGGAAGCCCATGTCGTGCGCTTCAACGCCGCAGTGGGAAGGCAACCGCGGGTCAAACTGTGGCGGATCGCGGTCACCGCAGAATCCAGCCGCGAAGCGTCACCCATGGCAGGATGCAACGACCCGGCAATGCGCAGGTTGAAGGCATGCGGGGCAGGCTTCACTGCAAGGAGCATGGGCGCGGGAAGAGACCACAGCCTCGCGGCAGACGACCCGGAGCATCTCTGGCCATCGCTCGGACGTCCATTTCCTGTGTTTTTTTGGGGTTCGTGCGTGGTTTTTTCGCCAGATGATCAAGGATGCTCCTCGATGGTCCTCGCCGAAAGAAAAATACACACGTCCGAGCGATGCCAGGCGGAAGAAATCACAGTCTCGCGGCAGACGACCCGGAGCAGGTTGCCGCAGCTACCACACACAGCTGCACGGAAGGGGGGGGGGGCGCGATGGGGGGCCACGACTTGGCTACTGACTTCGGGGGGCCCGGCGTGCCCACCGGGCTCTGAGAAGACATGTTTGAAGGGGAACTGGGACACACAAATAAATAGGCACACAAATAACCAGACTCCTCAAATTTTCCCATATTTTCTGGGTTCTTGTCTTCCCCCCCCACTTCCCATATCTTCCCCTATTTTCCTGGGAGGCGACGATTCATTATGTCTGTGTGTTTTTTCCCCTCCTGCTTGTTGTAGAACCCTCACGAACCATCTGCTCAGGGAGAAAAAAGGATTGGCGGCGCGCAGAAAGGGCCAGGGGGAATAGGGGGAAGGCTTCTCGGAGGGAGGCTGCTTCTTAAAAGGCGCCCGCACTACCATCTAGAGACGAGGCCCGTGCCGTCCAAGGCTCCTACGAAGCCTCCCCCCTCCCCCGACAAGGAGCTCGACCACAAGAAACCTTTCGTACGAAACCCAACCCTGAGATCCCAGGACGTCCATTGATGTCTGGTGTGGGAACGTCACGCTTTGCATGGCAAAACCGTCGAGCCCCCTAAAAACCCAGGGCACCCTGGAGGCAAGCAGGGTGCTTCTTGGCATGGGTCTCCACTGTACCCCCGTCTGCGCGTGGCCGAAAGCGATGCCTCCCGGCTGGGGTCGGAGCCGATGGGGTCGGAGGATCGCGCCGCATCGCCGAGACATCGGTGATGCGTCGGCGATGCTCCAGCGAGGTATCGCCGACGTCGGCGGCGCGTCGGCGCCGCCGGCGTGGAGGAAATCGGGCCCCGCATCGAGCCGCATCGCCGAGGCATCGGCGATGCGGCGCGACCCTCCGCCCCCGTCTGCTCCGATGCCACCTGGGAGGCCTGGCACCCTGGAGCGAAGTAGGATGCTTCTGGGCGCGGGTCCCCACTGTACAGGGCAATGTTGAATACATAGGATTTCTAAGAATATTGGGTTTTTGAGAATGACTCATTTATGAATGATTTTATGCACGAACCCATCGTTGGTTTTAATACTAAATCTCTTCATTTTTAACACATGATCCGGACGCGGAGCATGTATTCAAAACTGCACTGTGCCCCCGCCAGTGCGTGGCCGACAAGGAGAGGAGACCCGCTGTCATGCTGCATCCTCGGGAGACCTGGTCTGTCCCGTCGCGGACCTGCCCGCGTCGAATCCGTGCCGCATCCATGGCGAACTCGCCGGATCCGTGCCGAATCCGTGCCGCATCCGCGTCGGAGTCTGCGCTGAATCCGCGTCGAGTCCGCGTCGAGCCCGCGTCGGGCACAAGACAAGGCACCGGTCTTTTGGGGGCAGGCGAGGTCACCCGAAGATGCCACGCGAGAGGCCCGCCGGTGACAGCGGAGCGCTGACGGGCAGCAGCCGGGGCACGGGGCACGGGGCACGGGGACCCGAAGAGATAGAGTTAGGTTGGGCATGTCCCCCTACAGGCGGATTTTTGCCGAAACAAAAAAAACCTGGTCCAAAAGTGCCCCAAAATATTCAAACATAGTTAGAAAAATCGTCCCCAGACTATTTGTTGAATACATTTTTAAATTTTCCTCCTGTAGAGGGACAGGCCCGACGTAAGGGCAGAAGCCTGGATCCGGCTCGCGACCACCGGGCGCCGAAACGCTAGCCACGGAGCCCGGGCAGGAAGATCGGCGTCGCGCGAGGGGGGGGAGCTAAAGAGGGAGCAGGAAAATATCCACCCTCGTGCGTCGAGTTCGTGCCGTGCCGACTTCGGCGTGGGTTTCTGACACCGTGGGGGTCCTTCAACCTTGAACGATCGGCCGTTTCCGAAACCTCCAAATCGTTCCACCTCGAAGGATTCTGGGTCGCCCGCGGCGTTCAACGTTGAACGCCGCTGGCGGGGTCGCCGCTGGTCGACATGACACGAACCTACCGTAATAATCCTAGGTCGGGCATGTCCCCCATATAGGCGGATTTTGGAAGAAAAATTAAACATAGTCCAGCATAAATCCATAAACGGTCAAACAAGAACAGAAATTTCGTCCCCAGAGTATTTTGTGACCATTGGAATATTCTTCCTGTAGGGGAAAATACCCAACTTAATAACAATCACCCCGACACGTGAAGCCGTCTAGTAAACGCACTCAACGGAGGAATCGAACAAGGCAAGGCTGTTTACTAAACGCCCAGGGCCGTCTAAGTGAACGCCAATGATCGGGTCTGGGTGGTGTTTCCTCCCTTGAGGGAGGTGAGAAGGAGAAGGCCTTCTCAAAGGCGGCGGGGCTTCTCAGAAACCCTCGCGCCTTCCGAACAGTCTTCCGTGCCTCCGGGGAAGGCTTCGAGAACTTCTCAGAAGGCAGGGGGACCTCCGAGCCTTCTGAAAAGGCCCCCCTTCTCACTCCCCCCGGGCTCGCCACCGATAAGAGGGGAGGAGCCGAATGGAGGCCGACGGGCGGCAGGGCCGCGGGGCGAGAACCTCGCACCGACAGGAAGAAACATACACATCAAGCCCCGAGGGGCGACGGCGAGCGAGGCTAGCGGCTGGCAGTAGGCTGGCGACGCAACGGAAACGCCAGAGGTGCCCACGTTGCATGAGGCCGATGGTACACATCGGAGCGGGCAGATGGCGCGAGCGAGGGCAAACACATGCACACAAGACAGACACGGACACACACGCACATATGCGTGCACGTACGCAAGCAGCACACAAAAAAGCACACGCACCCGCACATGCATGCCACACACGAACGCTCAATGTAGAGCGCACGTGCGGAATCTGCCTCAAGAGTTGCCTCGTGGGTACCCACGGGTGGTATCACATACTCCTCGCGCCCAAACGCAAGCATGTTATCAGATAGCGGAGAGGACTGCGGAATGATGGTGAACATAATTTCGACGATGAAGAATGAGACCGGATGCTATCGATGACGCAAGAAGCCGTATATGCGACAATGGCATTTGATCCACATCCAATCCAGAACACGTGCCAATGACACAACATACTCAACGTTCGGTGCAAACAAACTGGTAAGGAGGGGACGCATCCATCACCTTTGCTACAACCGGGAGAAGACCTCATCTGCGAGCTGGCAACTGGACAAAGACGCAGACGCTCAACGCTGGAAGTGGATGCCCCAGCCTTGCAACGTCCTCACTACTGATCTCAAAAAGAGGTAGCGCCCTGGGCAACGAGTGTACCAACACAACATGCCAATACATGTGATATGTTGCTGGGCAACACGCTTACATTCAGGTAAGTCTGAATACTGGAAACTCGTGTCGACGACTTCTTGGGCGACCTCACATCTTTGTGAACACTTCTCTGGCAAACAACTTATAACCATATTACGCATTTAGAAAGACATGCCGTAATCTCTTGGGCTCCAGGCGCCATACCACCACACACACACACACACACCGCCACGAGACGGCCTGCGTACGCCCCATAATAACTCCAGCGCGGTCCAAAAACGGTGCGCAATTGCGTCAATCCTAACCCAAGGCCGCTCCGAGAACGGCCCAAAGACATCCCAAGAACTTCCCGATGGCCTTGGACGCGTTCGGATCTCTCGGACGTCGCGCAACATTGCGAACATACCCGACATGTGATGACCCCGTGCTGTGTCCCACGCCAATATCTTGTTAGACGTGATCTGGCAAGGCAGCATTCTTTCAATAACACTTAATATCTACGTATGCCAAGTCCACAAAACTGCGCGTTCTGTGCCAATCGTTGTAACACCATGCCAAATCAAGCGGTAGTTCTGAAACGCAACGGGGCAATTCCATCCGTCACCATGCCACGAGGCACTAGAGAGTGATCTCTGGCCCCTCCGAGCCCACAGCGCTAAAGCTTGTCGAGGCTCTTTACAGACACCTGAAACCCAGATGCCGTAGCTAGAGGCCTCCTAGATGGGATCCGAGTGGATGTGGTCGGAGGATCGCGCCGCATCGCCAATGCATCGGCGATGCATCGGCGATGCATCGCCAACGTCGGCGACGCATCGGCGGCGTCGGCGATGAGAAAATCGGGCTCCGCATCGAGCAGCATCGCCGATGCATCGGGGATGCGGCATGATCCTCCGCCCCCATCTACTCCGACCCTACCCAGGAGGCCAAAAGAACCTCAGATGCCGTAGCCCCCAAGCGCTACTCATCGCTCTTGGGTTGAGACGCGTGAATTTTCCAAAGGCTTCGGGAGGGTGGTGCGGAACCCGCTCTTCTAACAGTAGGTTGGGCATGTCCTCCTACAGAAGAACATAAAAGACGAGTCCACCAACAATCACACATGGTCAAAGGAGCACGACAAATCGTCCCCAGACGTTTTTTACTGTTCTGGGGTATTCCTCCTGTAGAGGGACATGCCCGACTTAATTCTTACATGCTTCAGGATACAAAAGGAGCTCGGCCACAAAAAACCTTGAACAAAAAACTCAACCCTGAGACCACAGGACGTCCATTGATTTCCGGTGTGGGAAAATCAAGCTTTCCATCGCAAAACCATCGGAACCCAAGAAGCCCAGGGCACCCTGGAGGCAAGCATTATGTCGGGCGTGTCCCCCTAATTACAGGGGGATTTTCGACGAAACACAAACAATACCCCACAAATGCCCCCAAACAAGTCAGAAGATACACAGAAAAGAATCACCAGACTATTTTTGTCTTATTTTTTGACTTTTTTGGGGGGTACCTTGTATTTTTCGTCGAGAATCCCCCTGTAGGGGGACAGGCCCGACTTAAGGCAAGCAGCGTGCTTCCTGGCAGGGGTCTCCCCCTGTAGCCCCCGGGGGGGGGCTGTCCGCGGGCCCTCGCCGCCGTGGGGGCCCTGCAGGGGGCCAGCCCCAGAGGCCAGACTTAGGTCGGGCCTGTCCCCCTGCAGGGGGATTTTCGACGAAAAACAAAAAATAATACCCCCCCCCAAAAAAAATCAAAACATAGTCCAAACATAGCCCAAAACATAATCCAAAACATAGTCCAAACATAGTCCAAACATAGGCCAGCCCCAGAGGCCAGACTTAGGTCGGGCCTGTCCCCCTGCAGGGGGATTTTCGGCGGTGGACAAGCCTCCCTGTAGTAAACCTCCCCTTAGCGAAAACGACCTGAGGCCGAATCGACGGACCTGGACCCGCAAAGATGACGGCCGCGACGCCCTCGCGGACCGAAAACGGCCAATTCCTTAATCGACGTGTCAGGGTAGGAGGTCTGTCCACCTCCGAGATTTTCGACGAAAAATAAAACATACCCCAAAAAGAATCAAAAGATAGTCCAAACATAATCGGGGGACTATGTTTTGAATCTGTTTTGGCCCTTTTGGGGTATTTGTGGGGTATTTTCTTACTTTTCGTCGACGATCCCCCTGTAGGGGGACACGCCCGACATAAGGCTAGACTCACCGGCATTCCACATGCACTGCGTGCGTGCGTATATCTATGGGCCGCACAGAGACGTGCTCATACCATGTCTTCCTTGGAGGCTCGCGTCCGACCGAAACAATGGGCGATTCCGGAAACCCCCTGAACCCAAAACCGATTCCATCTCTTGGGGGCGCATCTTTTACTTCCGCCACCTTCCGCCGGCCTTTCCGCCGGCGGAGGCAGCCTCGTTTTACTTCCGCCGCCTTCTGCTGCATTCTGTCGCGGAAGAGATTACAACTCCTTCGATCCTCGAAGGCAAGGCCCTTTTTGGGAAGCTCCATACAGTATGTTCTCCATTGAGGCGCGCGTCCCGCCCGAACATCTTGTATAGCCTCGTACGATATCATTTCACGGGCGGTGTGGCCAGAAACCACCCGCCTCAACGCATGTACTGGGTGCGCGCTTCGCCCCCTCGGGGGGGCGCGACGCACACGTAGTAGTATGGGTATGTTCGGATGACGCCGAATATATACAGTCAAAAACCCTAATAAGGACGCGCGGTAAGGACGCAAGACCCTTGGAAGCCGAAGCTGGGACTTTTGGGGCGGCGGAGGACGAGAACCCCGAGGACGCAAGAGCAAGGAGGAGCAAGGACGCAAGGGTACCCTGAGCAAAGTCGCGCGTCCTTATCAGGGTTTTTGACTGTATGCATAATGTACACATCTGGGCATGTATTCTCGGATCGTCGCCGCACTCGTCCAGTGCTGCGAGTGGGCCCGTCCCGTGCTTCTCTTGGGGCCGCTGTGTGGCGGTCCGTGGGCCCTCTCGAAGTCGTTCGGGGGACCTCTTGGGGAATCTCGGGCCCCTCTCGGGCCGTCTTGGGGGTCTCTTAGGGGCCCTCTGGACGCCCTCTTGTCCGTGCAAGTGTATACTCTTGGAAACAATAAGATATATCCAGAGTGCAGAGCCCCCCTGGAGGGGCAATACCCTCCCCGTGTAGCACCCGATCTCCCTTGGGGAGCCTCGCAAGACGACCTGGAAAGCGCCCAAAACGGCCTTCAGGAAGCCCACAAAGGCCTCAAGACGGCCCAAGGGCGCTCCAAGAGAGCCCAACACTTCACCAAAGCTTTCCAAGATGGCCCAATAGTGTCTCAAGACGGCCTGATCGGGCCCCGAGGCGACCAAAGAGACCATCCAGAGGGTTTGAGGAGGTCCAGCACATGCATCTCCTTCAGGTTTTTGCAGGCTTCTCGCCTTCTTAGGCGTCCGACGCCGCAAGACGGCCACAGAGGTCCCAAACATCGCCCCAATGCGGCCCAAGATGCCTCCAAGAACGTCCGAAGACGGTCCAAGACAGCCTCCAAGCGGCCGGAGAAGGCCTCAAGAGGCTCCCAAGAGAGCCCTAAGAGCGCCCAAGACGTCCCCAAGAGGGCCCCAGGGGGCTCGAAGAGGGTGACTAGGCGGCCAAATCCCCACAAGATAGCCCCAAAGAGCCCCAGGACGGCCCACGAGGGCCCGAGAATGACTCACAAAGGCCACAGGAGGACTTCCCAGCTAGATATTTTTGTTGAGCGAACACGCTGACATTGGCACACATGGGTGTGGATCTCACAGCTGCCGTGGTAGCTTTGCCCCGCCGCAGCCGCACTAGCGCGGACTCCGCCGAAGCCGAGGCTCGAGCCTTCAGACGCAGTTGGCGAGTGGCGATTGCATGTCAAAGACAACGACATCTGACTCGAGCCTGGGAAGGAGGCAGCATTTGGCTGCATGCAATCCTCTACTCGGTAGCCGAATTCTGAACCCTAGTAACCTCTTCATGGGCTTGCGTTAGACTACCCAGATTCTTCACGGAGAAAAAAAGACGCCGCCAACGACTTTGGCCACGCATGCAGCCGTCGCTGCAATGCACGGGTGGCAATGCACGCCAGGTGTCCAAAAGGGGACCAGCTGGATTTCTGCTTTGTTGCACCAGAGAAAAACAAAAAACCCAACCAGTGGATGGTTTGAAAATTTGGCAGGCGCCGAAGTTTCGAAGAGGCCCTAAATACCGACCTGGTGTAAATTTTAGAATAATTGTGGCATTCTCGCCTTTCAAAAAGGAACCGGGAATTCGATGGTGATCTGGATAATGAGATCGTGGGATCGATAGTGGGACCAATAGTGTGACGACGATAGTAACGTCGACTGTGAGACCGATAGTGAAATCGATTCAACGAGATCGATAATGCGATCGATCGTTAGATCGCACGAGGGATCTAAGTGATTTCGATAGTGAATCGATTATGAGATCGACCACGATATCGATAGTGAGATAGATCGAGAGAAGGGTAAGGAGATCGATGGTGAGACCGATCGTTAAAGAGTTCGACGAGAAAACAGGGAACCCGGAAACCCGGGAACCCCGCCGCCTACCGAAATCGGCCCAGAAGCAGCGACCGGGCACCCGGGAAACGGGAACCCAGGAACAC